TTAAGTCCTATATGACTTTGATGGGCAAAAAAAGAATGCAGATACACACCATTCCTTACATTTGTTCTACCATGTTTCTATGGTCTTAGATTTCCCAAGAATTTAGATTTCTCTGATTGCTTCTTTCAGTGAAAGGTGTGACTACCACTTTTCTTTCTATAATCTCTACCTCAGTGATCTCATACAGTCTTATGGTTTAAAATACCATCTCTATTTAACAACTGCCAAATTCGCATCTCCAGCCCATATCTTTCCTGAAATCCAGCCTTTGGGTCATTGCACTAGCTGTTCCAGATATCCTACACCCTTACCTTCTCATCTTTGCTCAAATGTTGCCTTCTCACTGAAGCCTATTCTGACCATGCTATGTAATGCTGCAGGCTGTCTATTTCACTGCCCAACTCCAGCACTCATATACCTCCTTAACCTGCTCTACTTTTTCTTTTTCAATATCACATATCACCTTCTAACACTCTTAAATACCTTACATATTTATTAGGCTTACTGTTTACTACTGTGTCCTCTTACTGTAATGTAAGCTCCTTGAGGGCAGGAATCTTTGTTCATCTATGTATCACAAATACCTACAACAGTGCCTGGCACACAGTAGGGACTCAATAAATATTTGTTGAATTGTTTTGATTTGAACTGAATTGAACTATGTGTCCATGATGACACATAAAGAAAGTCAATCCCTATACTTTCCTAGATTTTCTAGTTGAGGAAATATTCTTTGCTTGTTTCCTTTTTGTTTTCTTTGCAAGTGGGCCAAGTTCTCAGACCTCTAAGAACTGAGAATCATAACTGACATACTTCAAGATATCAATAGAAAGGTATTTTTAAGTTAATTTGCTTAAAATGCATTTAAATATGGCTGATTAACCACAAGATTTTGTCTTTGTTTTGTGAACTTGATGTAGAAAAAGTAGGGGCTTATAAAAGGTAATGGAGGAGAATATAGCAGCAGACTTGAGATGTCAACAAATTTTTGTTAGTGAGAAAACAGAGTGGTGACTGATTTAGCAGAGCCTGCAGAAGAGTACACCCGCAACTGGAGGTCCCTGAAAAGGCTGAGGCCTTGGAGACCCTGGGCCTCATGGAAGACAAAGGGCTGAAAATGCTGATTTATTGAAGTTCTGTAGTTAGGTCACTAGGTCCCCTCACCTACCCCATATATCAGGCTGCTATGCATATGTGCCCTCCCTCATGCCTTTCTTCATCCCATTACCCTTTCCTCATCCCAAAGGAGACAAGGGGTTTATTCTCTGGAGAAGGACCAGAGTTAGGCTCTGGAATCAGGGACACCAGACAGTGGAGGCCAGGGGTAAAAAATAAGGCTGAAATGGGATAAAGCTGCATACTGAACTGTGGGACCCTTAACCCCCTCTCCTGGTGAAAGCTAGACTTTAACCCCTTCAACCATCTCCCACCCAAACCCAGCAGGAGGTTAATCTCTGGGGAAACTGAATGGCTCCCAAAGAAAAGGTACTGACATTTGTGAATACCTCAGTGAAAAATCAAGGCCAATGACCCAGACACACTGTATATAAAGAGCAAGCTCCTAATCACCATAAAGAGAAGAGAAAATGAAGGGTAGGAAATATATACATAGCACACAAGACAAGTTTTCAGAATTGAAGGTCATGAATCTTCAGATTAAAAGGATCCTCTGTCTGCCCAGCACAGTAAATATTAATACCAATAGCTAACATTTATCATGTGCTTACAATGTGCCAGACACTGTTCTTAGTACTTTATTCATGTTAACTCATTTAATTCTTAAAATAATCCTCTGAAGTGAGTACTACTGTTATTCCCATTTTACAGATGAGACACACAGAAGTTAAGCAAGTAAGGATACCCAGGTGGTAAATGGCATCCAGGCAATCTGCTTCCAAAAAGAACCCATGTCAAGGAACACCATTATTAAGTATTAAATCTGCGGAAGAAAAGAAAATATCCTAGAGATTTCTGAAGCAAGGTGATAGATCATTCACCTATGTGGGAATAAGAAAAGCTTTAGACTTTACACAGCACAGCAATAATCAAGCAATGTTTTCAAAATCTTGAGAAAAAAATCCTAAAGTTCTATACTCAGTCAACTATCAATCAAGTGTGAGGGCAAAACAAAGACATTTTTTGATATGTCAGGTGTCAAAATTTACCTTCTATGCACTTTTTCTTAGGAAGCTACAGGAGAATGTGCTCCATCAAAACAAAGGAGTAAAAAAAAAAACAGGCAGTGAAAAGATCTGGAGAACAGATGCCTCCAACCAGGAAGGCAGAAAAGAGACTCAATTTCTACATTAATAAAGTGGGATAATTAATACCTAGAGTCTGGGATTCATATAGAAAATTTTTCCTCAGATATACATTCATCTTAATTTTCTTTCAGTTTTTTGTGTGTCATTCCATTTTTATATTTTTGTATTTAATTTATCACTCCATATAGAATTTATGTTTGTGACTTTTGTTAATGTTATCATAACTGACAAGGTTATTTCCTATATTTTTGACTTCGTGTTTTTACTTCCAATGTAATTGAAGACCTAAACATTTCTGCTTTCCAAATTTCTAGTCAACTATCCACATGCCCCTCATTGT